AGCAAAATTTTTTGTTTAAAGAGACTTTAATTACTAATTTACCCTCACCATCTTCCCCCTTTTGTCTCATCCTCTCCTTCCTCCGGCCTTCTTTTTTTTTTTTCAGCTTTGCCTTTTGAAAATCAGATCGTGGGTTCCTCGCGAGGTGAGTGGGGAAAAGATGAGTCTCGATCACCCAAGAAGGAATCTTCACCTTCTCCTCCTAATCCTCCCACTGTGCTCAGATTGGATGATGAGCGTGAGAAATTGACCGTGACAAAGACGTGGGTATCAATCGCGGTTCTTCTTCTCCTTCTTCTTCTTCTATTTTTACAGTCTCCGGTTAAATCCGGTGATGGCGGTTCTGAAATTGCGCTTGATTGATTTTTGGTTTTTTAGGAAATCATCTGAAGGTGAGAGGCAGCGGGAAGAGAAGTTCCAGATAGATCTGATGGTGAGGATCTTGCTTTAGTCATGACTCATGAGGTTGATTCTTTTCCCCACTCTTTGAGCATCTTTTTTAGATTTTAATTTTTTTTTTTTTTTGCTGCCGTCAGGCTCCTCCTCCGTCGAGATCATCACTGGAAAGGGACGGTGAGATCGATTTTGATGCTGCAGATCCAAAATCGATAGCCACAAGTGTGGGGACGGTGAGTGACACATAGAGCTTGTCCGTCACTACGATTCAGTAAAACGTCCTTTTCGTGAACCCAGGCTCTTGGGTTCGCCTGGAGGTAAAAGAAATCTCTTGTGCATTAGAACATCTTCTGCCCTCTCTATTTTCACATCCAATGCATATCTGCAAATGCAAAACACAATCACTGGAAATCACAATATAACTACAAAGAAGAAGAAAAAAAAAATGAAAAAAACAGAAGATCAAAAGAAATTCCAGAAACGATGAAGAAATATCACCGAATCTGTTACATTTAACTTGATTTCACAAAGAAGATAAAAAAACAAAACTATAGTGGCTAGGAAAGCCCGAAAGATTTCACGAACGGAGCAAACCCCGCGAGCTGGGTTCCTCGCAAACACGCGAGCTGGGTTCCTCGCGAACCTGCGAGCTGGGTTTGCCTGGAGGTAAAAGAAAAAAAAGAAAAAAGAAAGGTTGGAGGAAGGAGAAGCCGGGGAAGAAGATGAGGGTATATCAGTAATTAAAGGTAAAAAATTTAACATGTCATCAATTTTTGCCAAGTGGATTTTTCACATAATTTAGTTAAAAAAAAGAATGAGTGTTTCCGTTAATTAACTTGCCACATCACCCAAAATTTAACGAAAGGACTAAAAAGGGGCCGGATTTGTGAACAGTAAGGACCAAAAAGAGAATTTTTTCGGTATAGGGACCAAAAAAGAGCTTTTTCCTATAGTAGAGGGACCAAAAAAGGTATTAAACCAATAAGATATAGCCTAGCAGGTTGAATGGGTGAAACGGGCCAAATGGGTGGAGCGGGCCTGACGGGTTTAAGCGGGCCAATTGCTAAAATGAGCTGCAGGGTGTGTTCGGCCCGTTTTCAAGCCCGAGTCCGGTTGAACTAGTTCAATCAACCGAGCCGGGCCGGGCCTCAAAATAGTGCAAATTAATATTTAATACAACAGCTATTACATGATGAGACTACTAAAATACAAAAAACAACAATGACTCATGCTTATGGTTACAATTCATGCAAGTTATATGGTGATCAAATACTATATTGTATTTAACGAAAAAGGATCATGGATCATCACGTATAATTCCAAGTTTCCAACATTTCATGCATTCGATTGAATAATGATTTAGTAAATAGATGAAACATCAAATATTGCACGAGGGTTAGAAACTCATACTTGTTTGGTATATAAAAATAAATGAGTAATTTTCAATAGCTTGCTTACATAGAATCACTACAAAAAGAGCTATTCACTTCCATTTGAGGAAAACTGAATCACCTTAAAATTGTTGTTTCTCAAACATTCTTCTTAAACTCCATATTGTGTCGTTATTGTGCCTTGGTTATAAGATTAAATAAAATAATATTTAGTGAACTTATCAGAAAATATCAATAATAAAATATCACTGAAATAGACGTAAAGAATTTACTTACTTTAAGTTGATTCATGCTTTTGTAAAGAGTAGATTAATCGGTCCAGGAAAGATATACATAATATGTTGCCCCTAAAATACTCAGTTTTATAATAATACTTTATGAATCTGCACTACCCATAAAGCTATCTAACTCAATACACCCTTATTTGCTCAAGGAGATAGAGTAGTGTAAGAAGGCAAAAGAATGTGGAGGAACTTCACCATAGTTGAGCAAAATTATATGTCCTATTTACAAGGTTCATGATCATATAATTCTCATTTGTAGATTAATGATAGAAATAAATTGGGTATTGTTATGAAATAATATGTCCTTAAATAGGGCAATTAATCTATAATGAATAGTTTGACCAAATACAATAAATTTAATTTATAAAATATATTATTTTATTTATTATTGAGATATTTAAGTTCCAACAATAAATCATCTAAGAAATTCTATTTTCTTGTTTTTAGATAAAGTGAATGACATGCCCTAAACTTAGACTCACATGAGAAAAGCCAATCAAGGATTTTTGAAGAAACAAAAGAATAGGGTGAAATCCAAACAAAATTAGAATAAATCAGCTTGGATAATCCGTGCATTAAGAAGGCAAAAAATAAAAAATAAAAAATCGCTGCATTAAAGTTTCAAATAGTTTATTGCATGGGATTCTAGCTGCACTTGACAAATTAAAAATATAGTGACCAAAAAGCAAGTACATCTTTTAAAAATTTAAAAATTTAAAACTTTTAAAAAACAATGATACTCAGGCCAATCGGGTCAAAGTGTACATGGCACTCACCTTCTCCCTGATGAGCAAATGAAAGTTGAGAAATAAAGAAGAATGGGTCTGATTAAGAGAAAAGTGTTAAAACAAGGAAAGAAAAGAGAGAATGATAATTTTCAAACTTTTAAAAATTTCAGGCATAAAAAAGTTTTTACTCCCCCATCCTAAAATAACTGTTTGTTACTTAATTTTGAGTTTGTGTTAAGGTAATTGTCATTTTTTTCCATTTTTTAAGATAAATAAATATTTTTTAAATTTAATTTTATTATTATTTATTTTAATTAATTATTTGATAAAAAAATCATACTTTATTTTTTAACTTTTTTTAAAGATAGTATAAATAAATACATAAACTATCTTACAATTATTAATTTAAGAAAAAATAACAAAAACACAATTATTTTAGAACAAAGTGAATAATAAATTATAGTTCATTATTAATGTCATTGATCAACCCAGCCACACTACCATTGAGAACATTTTACCTAAAAAACTTAGTTAAATCTCATTTTTGGTCTCTTAGCTTTATATTATTACACACTTCTTAACTGTTTTTTTTTTTTTTAATGTTTTTTATCCTTTAACTTAAAATATTGCATAATTTTGATCAATTCATCAGTTAAGCTAGATAAATCAATCCAGTTGTCATTTTCTTATTTTTTTTAATGGCATGAAAATTCCACCTAACACAAAATGCTTGGCTAGATTAGAAAGTAAATTCCACGTTATTACAAAGAACACCAAGGTACTTCTGAGTTCGGATCTTCACTTCTACTAACCTATAAAACCTCGAGATTGGTTCTCAGGGTAAACACTCCAATACCTAAGTCAACAATAATTAGAGTTACCAAGTATGGATTGAGAGCTGAACTTGAGTTTGGTTTAAATTACCTTTTGAGAACTCTTGGAGGGGATTTATAACTTTCAAAAGGGCGTCCACGTGTTGTTCTTCACAGGCAATCAGGGTGTTGTTCTTCACAAGCAATCAAGATCATATGTGTTAATGATCGCAGAAAACTCTCCTAAAAGATCTATACCTGTATGGAGTTATTGTAGAACAGCAGTAAAGGGGATGAGCTCGAACTCAATTGAGCTCATTGTTCTTTAACATCGAGGTGACAACATTGTCAAAAATAACTCAAACCGTCCGAGGTACTCAACCTTGAACCACAAGAGGTACATGATCTCGGACTACCACCATTACACTACGCACTTAAGTTATGACATGGCAATAATTAACTACAGCCTCTTCTTTCCTTACGTTCATCTTCCTTCCTCTCTCCTTCCCTAGATTGGACAGCTCCTCCTCCTATCTCTTTTCTACCTCTCCTCCTCCTTCACTAGAATCTCTCGTAAAAAGATCACAGCAAGCTTAAGGCAGCAAGATCACGAGAAGGCTGCAAGATTGCCTCTTTTCTCTTATCCCTACCTTGCTCTTTTCCTTCCTCTCTCTCTTAACTTTTATTTAGATAAAAATTAATAAAAGAACAGAAAAGGACGAAAGGGAAAAAAAAGGAAGGGAAGGGAAAAAAAATAGTTTTATTTGAATAAACGAAAATTAAAAAAACTATTTTTATGTAATTAAATAATTTTAAAAAATAAAATAAAATATTTAAAATTTATTAATTAAATTAATAATTAAAATAAAATATTTATATATTTATTTTTAAAAAATTAAAAACAAAAACCATTTAAGTAATATAATTTATTGTAATTCTTTCAAATTAAAAGAATTAAAGATAAAAGAAAAGAGACTCCCCTCCATTAAAATTATTAATCCAAGCAATCGAAAATACTTTCTCTACTCACTCACCTGCTCTTCCCCTGCAACTTCCCCAGTCCAAACAGTGTTGGAGAACTCGAGCAAGAATGTGTTGAAAACCCAGAACTAAAACTAGCATCTAATCTAATTCCCCGAAGGACAACTGAGACCACATCATAAAAATCAAATTTTTAACCGAAACAAGAGGATTAAGGTGAAATAGAGCCACCACATGATCATCCTACCATCAAATACAAACTGAATAAGGGAAAAAATTCACAAGAGGAACCCAGATGGAACAATCCCAATTCAATTGGGTTTTATCAAGAACCCAACACAGATCTAGGTTCCAATAGGTTCGTTCAAACCCACATAAATTGAATTCAAACCCCAGATGACTATTTCAAAAGGGACTCAGATGGGGTTCATTCAAATTCAGTTTATCCAGGTTCCTTCACAAACCTAGATCAACACCAATTCAATTAACAGGTCATCTGGGTTGATGAGCACAAATCTAGCTTGGTTTTATGGAAGGATGTAGAGTAGATGGGGAGAGAGAAGAGTACGGACAGTACTAGTTCACTGGAGAAAGGAAAGTTTTTTGCTGAAGAAAAAGGAGATGAATGGGGAGGAAGACGGTGCTGGAGACGAAGGGGGGAGATGAATCAAAAAAAAAAAAAAAAGGGAGGAAAGAAATTGGGGGAAGAAGATGAATTAGGGGTAATATTATAATTTAATATAATTCAATAATTAATTAATTAATTAAAATCCTTATTTGTTTTTACATAAAAAAGTCTAATATGTTGTTTTATTTAAGTAAAGTTGGCCCTAAAATTATACACCTATAATTAATGCCATATAATTTGTCATTTAGTGCACCTAAGTAAAAAGAATTTTGTTTTATTGTCCATGTATCATACCTCAAATTAAAGAAAATAAATCTTTTAACGGAAACACTGTCATGTTATCCTTTAACTAATGAAAAAATCAAAATTGTATAGTTTTTAAAGTTAACAAATTTAAAAAGTATATAAAAATTAAAGAATAAAAATTATTCAAAATTATAAAATTAAGGAACCAAAATTTGTAGTTAAAAAAAAAAAAAAAAAACCTTCCACCTGGAAACACTTGATTTTCGGTTAGGATATATACTAGCAAACATAAAATGCTAAGGTGTGTTTGGTAAACTTTTTCAAGAAACATCAACTTTCAAGATTTAGTAATAATATATTTGGATAGATTGAAATAAAGAATATAGAAAAAAAAATATTTTCTATTTAGTTATTAAAAAATTTAGAAAGAAGGAGAAATTTTTTCTTTATTTTATTTTTTAAGTTTAATTATTTATTCAAATAAAAGAAAGATATTCCATTCCCCTCTGTTCTCCTCCTCCTCCTCTTCTTTTTATTCTTCTCAACTCAAACATTGGATAAAAGTATTTTGACACTTATATATCTCAAAATTATAATAAATAAAAAGTAAAATTGAGACTTTAACCTTTATTTTTGTTAACACAATTTTTAATTTGTAAACTTTTCTTTTCACCTTTTTTTTTAAGGAAAAAAGTTTCCCACAGCTTTCTCTATATGTGATCCTTAACAATTTTCTCTCCTAAGTTTATTTATACATTCCCTATATTAGTTTCTTATCAAACATCATAAAATTAACATTTTTAACAAAATTTCTACAAAACTCTCTACCTTCCCATATAATACCTTTTCAATCACTTCTCCTATAAAATATCACTTTTACCCTTTTTTCATTGTAATTTTAAGGTTTGTAAGTACCAAAATACCTTTATAAAATCATGATTATAGACATTTCTCAAGAAGGTAAAAGGAAAGTTTTCCACAAATTTTGTTATATAAAACTCATTTGATAACTTTTCTTATTAACTTTTTTTACTAAATTTTCCTTTACCATTCTTATGTCAATTTCTTATCAAACACAAAAATCCAACAAAATTCCAAGAAAATTTTATTACAAAATATAACAATTTTTTATACAGTATTTTCTAATTTTTCGTAAAGTACTCTTCCAACCATTTTCCCGATAAAATTAGCCTCCGACTAACACACGGGCATCTAACATGTTAGATTCAAGAATGTTTTCCCCAAGAAGCCACACAAAATGGAACAACAGCTTAGTCCATAAAAAGTACAATATTAGGTAAGAGAAAATAACAAGTTAGAAATGTAGTTAACTGATTATATAATTGCAATATAACCCATAATTTCCTAAAGAAGTATGCATAAGACAATTATCCAAAATCGGCAACATTTCAAAAAAATTGGTTATACTCTTTTTTATTAATTTTTGATTGGTTATTCCTTTTACAAAAAAAAAAATGTCTTTTAAGTCAAGTGCAGTTCAACTACTAAAATTATTAAAATGCCCTTAATAAAACTTTTTCTTATATCTATTCATTAAGGGTAAATTAGTCCAACCCAAAATACATAAACCTTTTCACTTTAGTAACCCTACATTTTTTTGTTGATTTTTGTGTCCAAATTAATTAATCCAAAATTTATTAAGGGTAACTTAGTCCAACCCAAAATACATTAACCTCTTCACTTTAATAACCCAACATTTTTTTGTTGATTTTTGTGTCTAAATTAAATAATACAAAATCAAGATGTGTGTTTTTTGACACGAATTAGTAGGAAAAACAATCCACGATCCTACACTAATCAAAGGCACCCTAAAAATTAAGCTACTTGGCTTGTCACTTGTGGTGAACTTAGAACTAGATCCAAGTCAAACAAACTCACATTTGCTAGCCCTATCCCCACAAGTACGGCATCCACTCATTTAATTCCCTCCAACATATTAAAAACAAAAATAAATATATAAACTCATTTATGCTTGCAACTTATCATTCATATATTAATTTAAACAATAGAAGAAACTGTATTCCAAACTTATAAACTTTTAGTTCACACAAAATTTACTGTATTTTACTTGCATCCTAATAGGCTGCTCCTGCTCTCATGCAAAGCTACGTATTAATATCATGAGATGTTAATACATACAAGTCATAAAGAATGTGATATTGAAAGCTTAAAAGCACGAGACAAGCATTTCTTTTTTACTAAATAATTCAAAAGGCAAATATCACTGCAAGTTTGGTAAACATTGTTTTCACGTGAAATACTGAGTGTGATTATTCAATCAGACTTCTTTGCCCATTAAAGAAAAAAAAAGAAGGAACAACCAAGTTATATTTCAAAGCAAAATAAGAAAGCATTTTCATAATTCACCCTAGGTATAAGTCAAGAAATAACAACTGGATCATCCAAAGAGCTTCACTGGCACGAGTAGAGAAACCAAATTTGCAGTATAACTGTGAGTTATCGCTGGTGCATAGCTAAGGAGAAGGAGAAAAGGTTGCAACGTAAAAATCCCCCAAATTGAACCTAAACAAGCTATGTAAAATTACAGATACCTAGGTCACTCTTGAATTAGGATACAATGAAGTTCAGTCATTGATATTTGGGAACTGGAGCACACGAATCTTCTAAAACAAAACAACTACAAGAACAATATGGAAGCAGCATTTCCAAAGTGGCATGTTTCCAAGCCAGTCAAGACTGGAAATACCTTTTTTGTAAATACTATATGGCAACACCACATCATTGCCATCACAAAATGAAAAAAACATCACAAATGACTACAAAGCAAATAATGCATACCTTCCAGGATATTAACCATCCTACAAAGTAAAGCTCCTATCAAATTTTACATAGGAAGATAGAACCACAAGAAAACTAGCAATAAATTACAGAATATCATCATAAGCAATGATTTCTCTACCTCTGGAAGGCACTTCTAACATGGAAGAACCAACTCCATTACTTTTGGGGTTGACTATAGCTGATGCAAGCTTATTACCTCTTCCATGCTTACTCAGAGGCACCTCTGCCCTCAAAAGCTTTGAAGCCAAGGATGAGGATGGCACATTATCCTTATTAGCACCAGCCCCTACTCCTTCCCTCCATTGTGCCAAAGGGTCAGTTTCCCACAACACTTGTACCTGCAACATTCCCAAATCCTAAATTTCAAAACTTCAAACTTCTTAGTAGTAGAAAACAAAACTTTCATCCTATTGTAGCTCGAAATTTCATGTTACTAATTGAGTTTAACTTGTTCAGTATTGAGAGGTAGAAGATCGGATTCTGCTCCACAATGGGTTGCCCTGTATCTGCCGCTTACAATTGCAGGCAGCCGAAGCGAGGATCTTGTATCATTTGACTTCGGGGCGCCAATCGAGTTTTAAGGCATCAATTTTACGCTACAGAGTAGCTTTGTCACAAATTCCAATTACACAAAAAGCCTTAGCCTAATTTAGCTCAATCAATTTTGCAAAACAACATGTAATATTTTCCCTTTTGCTTCCTTTTTTTTCTTTTCTATATACTTGCACTTTCTAGGTAACCAAACAGGAAATTAACCCTAGATAAAAAGAGACCGAGAGAAATTACTCTTTTGGAATCAATTGTGATGCCGAAGGACGCATCAAGGGCAGCAGCAATGGCAGCCTCAGCGGATTCCTTGGAGCGGTAGACGATATAGCCCACAGCATCGCGGTCAATCCGGATGCGGGAGATAGATCCGTAGATCACGAACCGTGACTTCAAATCGAGGACGGAGCAATCTGGAGGCAATCCCATCACTACCACGGCAGGAGGCGGAGTGGGCCTTGCAGTTGGCTTCTCCTCCTCCTCGGGTGGCGGCTGGGGCGGCAAAGGCCGACGGCGTTTTGGGTTGGAAGCCGGAGCGTGGCGGGAGAAGTGGGTTCTGTCTCTCTTGCGGCTCATTTCTCCGGACGAGAGCAATAATCTATTGTTTTGAGGTTTTTAGACAATTTTTGAAGCCAGAGACTGCAGTAAGGACTTCCGAGAGCTTGCGGCGTTTGCTTATGTACTCGTCATCCGACTTGAAGTTTGGGTAGCCGCCACTCGAGCTCCGTCAAACTTACCGTGTTTATTGATTTGGACATCACAGGGTTGTTTGGTCAAAGTATTTGGAAATTGACTTGGAAAGTATTATCTTGAAAATGGATAATTATTATATAAAAAATTAATATATTTTGTAATAAAGTTTTGATGAAATTTTATTTGATTGTTTATTTTTGTGTGTTTAATAAGAAATTAATATAAGCACCTAATTTTAGAAATCCAATGACATTAGCCATTGATCAAGTACACTTCCCCCTCCCCTTGACAAATTTCGAATATGTACTTTATCAAAATGTTCAAAAAAAAAAAGAAATTAATATAAAAAAATTGATAATAAAATTGTCAAAATAGTTTTATATAACAAAAGTTGAGGAAACTTTCTTCTTAAAGTTCACTAATCACAAAAATTATAAATTAATTTATACAATGTAGCAAACTAAAAGCACTATAAAAGTTAACATTAAAAGTATAAAATATTTAGTTAAACCTATAATAATTAAGTAATTTAATGGTTGTATGGATATTATAGTAAAATTCAATTCTTAATTTAATAATAAAACTGTAAGTCAATGTAATTTATTAAAATTAAAAGATGGAAAAATAATTTTTAAAATAATTTACTTCCGAAAACGCAACACAATCTCCACCAACAACCTCTCTTATGAAACAAGTGAAAGTAAGATAAAATAATAATAAAACCTATAGATACTATATCTGCAAGGATGAATTCTTATGTAAACTAGTCTTAGGGAGAGACAAAAACCTTTGAAAAAATAAAAACCTAAAAATGTAAAACAAGATCATGGAGAAAACAAGGAGAAACAAATAATCCAAAAGAGAAAAAAAGGACGAAAAGGATAGGAACAAGAGGAAGGAGCGGAGTCGCGGCCAGGGCTCCACACCCTCTTCCTTACAAATCTTTTCAATGAGCTTTTGGGTTGAGTAAAAGTAAAAGTTAGTAAAAGCATTGGAAAAGGATAACAACTTTTCCTTATTGTGCGATTGAGAACGTTATCTTCCAATGATAGCAAAGAAATAGACTACACTGCTGAAGAGGCAGGATTCAAGGTAGAAGACTCAATTAAAACAGCAGTTGAATATTATCTACCATATATTTTAATAAAATTTAGTTGAGATGGATGACAGATTAGGGCAACTAATATATGGGTATGTGATGATTGCTGGGTTTGAGTCCTAAACTTTGTGCCTCTTCAATGTCCTCAAAAAGGAGTGTGGCCATCAAGACATAACAAGTGGGGCTAATAACAAACAATGACTCAAATAAAATTTTAAGTCAAATTTATAAGAGAAAAGTGAACGTCAATGCATTTTGGCATCTAAAATTCTTTATAAAATTATTTAAATATTTTTAATGAATTTTTTTTATATTTTGATTTATTAAGAATATTTAAATAATTTTATAAAGAGTCGTGATATTTAAATTACTGAGATCCTGATTTTCTATAATCCCAATTTATAATATTTAAGTTTAGAACATTACAAAAAGAGTGATAATCTAGATACTAAAAGAATTTGCTTCCCACATTAATAATGAAGTTTTAATCCCTTATGATGCTCTTCAGGAGATAATCTTATCAAGCTTATAACTATGAGTATGTGACAAAGTTCAAACTTAAGTATCTTAATACTTAGCTTGTTTAATGTCTTTAACATTATGTTTGAGTTGAGTGGAGGGGAGATGAAATTTTTTTAACCAATTAAATTATAACGTTTTTTTTTAAATATTGTAATCTTATTGATCAAAAAATCTTCTCCTTCCCTTCATTTCTCTCAACCTAAATATACTATAAGTGACCTTGACCCACATCGTTACTACCATATTTTATAGGCAAAACCCAAAGCCCTTAGACTTTCTCATTTTTTTTTTCACATAAGCTCTTAAAAAAAAGTGGTATCTAAACCCCTTGTTCCCTCAAAAATTTTCAAGTGGTGCCGCATGTGTGGAATCTAGAAACAAGCATGCGACTTGCTTTGCCATAAAGTAAGAAAAGAGGATTTTCCCAACGACCCTCTTCTTCCCCGCAGTCGACCTCCTTGTGGATGGTTGGAAGAACATTGGTTTAAAATGAAATCTGTGCCCTTCAAATGATTTGCAAGAGAATGCCTTCCTACAAAATAGATTGCTAAATCTACCTTGAACAACTCCAATGACTTAAACACTACCACAAATTAAAGTTAACATATCCTAAATGAACTAAATGGTTTGTAAATTAAAGTAAACTTGCATGTAAATGATGCATCCGAATTAAACTAACTACATTCATTGCCAAATTAAACTACTATTTACAGATAGATCTGAAAATCAAACTACTGAAGAACTTGAGATTTAATCCTAAATAGTTATGAATTTACCATGAACAGAAGTTAAACTAACATGCCAAAAATTAAGAAGAAATGTGAATGCCATATAAGTAATCATTTGGAGAAACACTACCTGTCATAAACATTAAACTAATATCAGTCAGAAAAATAACAGTACCTTACAAAAAATTGAAAAACTTGATGTTATTACATGGAGTAAAGGTGCAAATAAGGATTCTAACTTTACACTTTTTTCTATTTAAAGATATTAACTTTGTCAGTTTCTAAATAAGGATATCAACTTTCAATTTTTTCTAAATAAAGATGTTAACTTTCAATTTTTTTTTTTTTTAAATAAGGATGTTAACTTTGTCAGTTTCTAAATAAGAATGTCAACTTTCAACATTTTCTATTTAAGGATGTCAACTTTCAATTTTTTCTATTTTAGGATTAATTGAATAGTGATGTTGACGTGGCTAACATATTTTTTTAGGTTAAATATTTGAATTGGTCCCTCGACTTTTATTGTTGAACCAATTCATCCTTAAACTTTAGAAAGTACCAGAAACGTCCTTCAACTTCAATTTTCAATTTCGTCTTTCCGTCAGTTAAATGTTGATGTAGCTAATTTTTTTGCTAAGTGATTGACTATTTTACATGTTCAATATTAGGTGGAAAATCCATCATGTAAAAGATGATTATGTGGATTTTTTAAATTTTAAATAA